CTGGTAATCCTTTGCTCTATGTCTAAAATCCATATATGAATGAGTACATACCATGTTTGTCTTTTTGTGACTTACCTTGCTCAGGATGGTTTCTTCTAGTTCCATCTATTTGCCTGCAAATTTCAGGATTCCATTGTTTTTTTCCACTGGGTAGTACTCCATTGTGTAAATGTACCACATTTTCTCTATCCATTCTTCAGTTAAGGGGCATCTAGGTTGCTTCCAGTTTCTGGCTGTTATAGATACTATGAACTATGAACTACTATGAATATAGTTAAACAGATGTCCTTGTTGTATGAATGTGCATCTTTTGGGTATATGCCTAAGAGTGGAATTGATGGATCTTATGGTAGACTGATTCCCATTTTCCTGAGGAATCTCCATATTGAATTTCAAAGTGGCTGTACGAGTTGGCACTCCCACCAGCAGTGGAGGAGTGTTCCCTTTCTCCACATCCTCTCCAGCGTAAACTGTCATTGGTATTTTTTATTTTAGCCATTCTGACAGGAGTACTAGGTATATCAGAGTTGTTTTGATTTGCATTTCCCTGATGGCTAAGGATGTTGATCACTTTCTATCAGCCATTTTAGACTCCTCTATTGAGAATTCTCTATTTAGTTCTGTACCCCACTTTTTAATTGGATTATTTGGTGTTTTAGAGACAAGCTTCTTGAGTTCTTTGTAAGTTTTGGAGATCAGCCCTTTGTGAGATGTGGGGTTGGTGAATATCTTTTCCCATACTGTGGACTGCTGTTTTGTCTTGTTGACTGTGTCCTTTACCCTACAGAAGCTTCTCAGTTTTAGGAGGTCCCATTTATAGTTAATCTCAGTGTCTGTGCTACTGGTGTTACGTTCAGGAAGTGGTCTCCTGTACCAGTTCGTTCAAAGGTGTTTCCCACTTTCTCTTCTAAGAAGTTTAGTGTGGCTGGATTTATTTTGAGCTCTTTGATCCATTTGGACTTAAATTTTGTGCATGGTGATAGATATGGCTCTATCTGCAGTCTTCTACATGCCAGCATCCAGTTATGCCAGCACCATTTGTTGAAGATGCTTTCTTTTTTCCATTGTATATCTTTAGCTTCTTTGTCAAAAATCAGGTGTTCATAGGTGTGTGGGTTAATATCAGGGTTTTCAATTCAATTCCATTGATCTACTGTCTGTTTTTGTGCCAATACCAAGCTGTTTTCAGGATGATAGCTCTGTAATAGAGCTTGAAGTCAGGGATGGTGATGCCTCTAGAAGTTCCTTTATTGTACAGGGTTGTTTTGGCTATCCTGGGTCTTTTGTTTCTCCATATAAAGTTGATTATTGGTCTGTGAAGAATTGTGCGGGTATTTTGATGAGGAATACATTGAATCTATAGATTGCATTTGGCAAGATTGCCATTTTTACTATGTTGATCCTACCTATCCAAGAGCATAAGAGATCTTTCCATTTTCTGGTATCTTCTTTAATTTCTTTCTTTAGAGACTCAAAATTCTTGCTATACAAGGACTTGTTTGGTTAATGTTACCCCAAGATATTTTATGTTGTTTGTGGCTATTGTAAAAGGTGATGTTTCTCTGATTTCTTTCTTAGCCCATTTATCATCTATATATAGTAGGGATACTGACTTTTTGAGTTAATCTTGTATCCTGCCACTTTGCTGAAGCTGTTTATTAGCTGTAGGAGTTCCCTGGTAGAGTTTTGTGTCCCTTATATTAACTATCATATCATCTGCAAATAGTGAAAGTTTTGACTTCTTCCTTTCCAATTTGTATCCCCTTGATCTCCTTTTGTTGTCTTATTGCTCTAGCTAGAGCTTCAAGTACAATATTGAAGAGATATGGAGAGAATGGGCAGCCTTGTCTTTTTCCTGATTTTAGAGGAATCATGTTGAGTTTCTCTCCATTTAGTTTAATGTTGGCTGTTGGTTTACTGTATATTGCTTTTATTATGTTCAGGTATGTTCCTGTTACCCCTGATCTCTTTAGGACCTTTATCATGAAGGGGTGTTGGATTTTGTCAAAGGCTTTTTCAGCACCTAGTGAGATGATCATGTGGTTTTTCTTTTGCAGTTTGTTTATATGGTGGATTACATTGATCAATTTCTGTATGTTGAATCATCCCTCCATCCCTGGGATGAAGCCTACTTGATCATGGTGGATGATTTCTCTGATGTGTTCCTGGATTCTATTTGCCAGTATTTTATTGAGTATTTTTGCATCAATGTTCATGAGGGATATTGGTTTGTAGTTCTCTTTCTTAGTTGTGTCTTTGTGTGGCTTGGGTACCAAAGTAATTGTAGCCTCATAAAAAGAGTTTGACAGTGAACCTTATGCTTCTATTGTATGGAACAACTTGAGGAGTATTGGTATTAGCTCTTCTTTGAATTTCTGGTAGAATTCTGTGTTACGATAAATCTTTCCTCCAAAAGCTGCCTGAGCCCCCCCGCCATGTGTGAGCTTTACGCCAGCCGCCTGCCCGAGTTAGGCCCAAATGAATACACAGAAACTTGTATTAGGTTCAATGCTGCTTGGCCAATGACTAGGATTCTTATCTGTTAGCTCAGTCTTAACTATCATAAACCTATATATTTTATAAGACTTATCTTATCGGATGGCTTATTGGCGTCCCTCCTTGTCGGTGGATCACATTGTGCCACTGGAGCAGGAGCCGAGGGGAAAAAAGGGCCCTTTCTGTTTCTCCTTCACTTAAATATGAGTATCCTTGCTATGTCACTTCCTGCCTGGATCAGCACTTCTTTACTACACTTCCCAGAATCCTCTTTGACTCCTAGTCCTGCGTAACTTGCCATTTATTGGCCAAACAGTATTTTATTTAACAATCAATAAGATAAACATACACAGAAGTACTTCCCCCATCAATTCTGCACTGAAACCATCTGGCCCTGGACTTTTTTTGGTTAGGAGACTTTTGATAACTGCTTTTATTTCATTAGGGGTTATAGGTCTGTTTAAATTGCTTATCTGTTCTTATTAACTTTTGGTAAGTGATATCTATCCAGAAAATTGTCCATTTCCCTTTAAATATTCAAATTTTGTGGAGTATAGATTTTCAAAGTATGACCTGAAAATTCTCTGGATTTCCTCTGTGTCCGTTGTTATGTCCCCCTTTTCATTTCTGATTTTGTTAATTGGCATGTTCTCTGCCTTCCTTTTGGTTAATTTGGATTGAGATTTGTCTATCTTGTTGATTTTTCTCTAAGAACCAACTCTTTGTTTCATTGAGTCTTTGTAATGTTTCCTAGTTTCTACTTTATTGATTTCAGCCCTCAGTTTGATTATTTCCTGGTGTCTACTCCTCTGGAGTGTGTTTGCTTCTTTTTGTTCTAGAGCTTTTAGTTGTGTTGTTAATTCTCTAGTGAGACTATTCTCCAGTTTCTTCATGTGGGCACTTAGTGCTATGAACTTTCCTCTTAGCACTGCTTTCAAAGTGTTCCATAAGTTTGGTTATGTTGTTTCTTAATTTTCATTGAATTCTAGGAAGTCTTTAATTTCTTTTTTTTATTTCTTCCTTGACCCAAGAATGGTGCAATTGGGCATTATTCCATTTCCACAAGTTTGTAGGATTTCTGCATGTTGTGTTGTTGTTGAATTCTAACTTTAAAGCATGGTGGTCCCATAAGATACAGGGGATTATTCCAATTTTTTTTTGTACCTGTTGAAGTTTGCTATGTTGCCGAGTATGTGGTCAATTTTAGAGAAGGTTCCAGGTGGTGCTGAAAAGAAGGTATATTCTTTTGTGTTTGGATGGAATGTTCTATAGATGTCTGTTAATCCCAATTGGGTCATAACTTCTGTTAGTTCCTTTGTTTCTTTGTTAAGTTTCTGTCTGGTGGTCCTGTCCAGTGGTGAGAGTGGGGTGTTGAAGTCTCCCACTATAACTGTGTGAAATCTTATGTGTGATTTGAGTTTTAGTAATGTTTCTTTTACAAACATGGGTGCCTTTGTATTGGGAGTATAGATGTTAAGAATTGAGACTTCCTGATTTTTTGTGTGTGTGTGATGAGTATAAAATGTCCTTCTTCATCTCTTTTGGTTGATTTTAGTTTGAAGTCTAATTTGTTAGATATTAAGATAGCTACACCAGCTTGTTTCTTGTGTCCATTTGATTGGAAAATATTATCCCAACCCTTTACTCTGAGATAATGTCTGTCTTTGAAGTTCAGGTGTGTTTCCTGTATGCAGCAGAAGGATGGATTCTGTCTTGGTATCCATTCTTTTAGCCTGTGTCTTTTTATAGGCAAGTTAAGACCATTAATATTGCGGGAAATTAAGGACCATTGAGAGTTAAATCTTGTTCGTTTTGGATTTGGTGGTGGTGGTGGTATTGTGTGTGGATTTACCCTACATTTTCTTTTGGCTTTTGGTAAAGTGGAATTATCTGTTGCCTATGTTTTTGTGAGTGTAGTTAACTTCCTTAGGTTGGAGTTTTCCTTCCAGTACTTTCTGTGTTGCTGGATTAGTGGATATGTATTGTTTAAATCTGGTTTTGTCGTGGAATATCTTGTTGTCTCCATCTATAGTGATTGAAAGCTTTGCTGGGTATAGTATTCTGAGCTGGCCTGAAGTAGAGGCTCACCTCTCCCCTGAGTGGGGGTGGGGTCCTGAATTCCATTCTTAAAGCTGAAGGACTGTCATGTAACAGAAGACTTTCACATAAAACAGTAACAATAGGCTTAAGTTGAACCTTTTACTTTTTCTCATAGAATTTAGCAGATTGCAAAGATGGGAGCTCTAGCAATAAAGTTGTTGAAATTCACATGGCTTTCCTTTGTGAAGTATGATACACTTTCACTGCCACACTCCTATCATGTGCCTACCAAAGGCAGGGTCCTTTTGTTATGGTGGTCTTCTAGGTTTGGACTTTTCCACAGTACTTCTTCATTCCCCATGTTGCTGCTTCCTATCACTTCTTACTGACCATGGAGTTTACCTTTTAACTCAGCCAGTGGCTTCTACTCGAGGCCCCAAGTTGGACAGCAGTGAGTCTCCAGAACCCTCCCTCTTGGGTTTGTCCTTGCTTTCAGAGGACAGACTGGCCCATAGCTGAGACTTAGTACTTCATTGAGGAATTACCTACACCTCTAATCTAGTTCCTCCTTGCATCTGTTGAGCATCCCCTGCACTGCTGAGCACCTCCTTGCATCTGTTGAGCACTCCCCTGCATTGCTGAGCACCTCTTTGCATCTGTTGAGCACTCCCCTGCATTGCTGAGCACCTCCTTGCATCTGTTGAGCACTCCCCTGCACTGCTGAGCAACTCCTTGCATCTGTTGAACACTCCCCTGCTTTTACATAAGACCATTGGCTCTGGGCAGAACAAACAAAGGAGTAATTTTCTTTACTAAGTATGTGCAGTCCTGTAATCCATCTGATTATTAACGATGATTGTTGTTTAGAGCAACTTTGAATGGGAAGTGGTGTTCTCTCATACTTCCCCCTAGTCTCTTATCACTCTCAATGCGGTGTATGTACTACAACCATGAACCAGTATTGCTGCCTATGATTCACTGACATCCATAGTTTATGCTGGGATTCTTTCACTCACACTGTACATCCTGTGGGCTTTGGCATTGGTCTAGTGGTTATGAATGCACCTGTTACACAGGTTCACTACCCTGATAGTGTCCCAGGTTCCCCCTATTCACACTTCTTCCCTGCCCACTAGCTTCCACATTTCATTTAGGCAAAATCCATTCTGTTCTCCTGCTTCTCAAGAAGGGAAGAGCCCTCTCTTCCCTCTCTGACTTTTACTTTATTGTAAAGTACTGCTAAAAATAGAAAATTTAAAGTAGGGAAAGCCATCTTTCTTCCTCAAAGTAAACTGTTCTCATTTGTCCTCTAGTTTGCAGCCCCTCTGACACTTTCCTCTCTAGTGTAAGCCAGAGTGTGGCTGAGTTCCATGTTACCCTCTCGCCTATCTTTAATCCATAATGGTGAAGAATGGCTTTGCTGTGTAGTCTTTGACTGGGACACTTAGAATCCCTAGCAAGTATTCTGACTTTGTACCTAAGCACAGAAGCATTCCCATCATTTTTAGATTTGTGAACCTAATCAATCCAGACACCCAGAATCAGATCCCATCTGTTCTCTTTGTTTAGGTTTATGCCAGAGCCCAACCTGCCCCCCTTAGTGCTCTATGATGCCACATCTCTGCCTGCAGATGCAGACTCTCAGCAGGTGGTCAATATTGACCAGCTTCGGGACATGCTTCCTGAGCTCCCCAGTGCAACCAGAGAAAGGCTTGTCCAGCAGTATGGGATACTGCCAGAGCACAGCTTCACATTACTGGTAAGTGTTGATCAGATCCGAATTAACCCAGCTCAGCAGACTGGGTGATCCTCCACAGAGCCCCTGTATGCACTGTCAGGTACCTTTCTCCACTCCTACACCAGACACCTCTGAGAGGGGTAAGGCACAGTACCTCACTTAATGCCCTTGACAATACGTACTCATCTCAGCACACTGGAAAAGGAAACAACCTCCAAGCTGCCCACAGGAGCGAGCCCTGGAGACTTGGAGGCTACTTCAAATGTTATGGATGAGTGTATTCTCAGGACGAGTGTGTCTTCAGGACCCCTCATCGCCCCCCCCAAAAAAAAAACTTTTAGGGTTTCTAGATGTCTTAATACTGTTGAACCATGACAGGATATTAGGTTCCCCAAAGCCAGAAAACATTTATCCTGTATAAAATGTTGCAAACTACTAAACATCTTCATCCTGTGAAGCTTGAAGATGCCCCTTTTGGGCCATTAAATAATCTGATACCCTTGAGGTAGCTTAAGGATTTTCCATCCTTTTTAGAACTACTTGGGGCTTTGTGGATTTCTTTGTCATGGCAACAGTAAAGTGATGCAGCATCAGCAAGGGTGGCATTCTGTCACAGCTGTCACCTTCTTGTCAACAGGAGAAATTGGGAAGTTGTTTTGTTGGTTTTGAGTATTTTTTGAGACAGGGTATCATGTAATCTAGGCTGTCCTTGAAGTCCTGTCATCTTCCAGAGCAACAAAACCTGTAGAAACTTGATTCTTACTTTTTAAGTGATTCAATAATAAGTATATAGGGGTGTTAGGATATATATTATATGAATACTTATATATACAATATACTGATTTATAGTGCACTAAGCAGTCTATTGCTGGCTGAGTGGTTCTTTTTGTCCTCCATAAGTCAGCTTTTTGGAGAGTAAACAGTGCCTAACACAAGAACTTCTGTTTTCTGACCAATAATGATAAAGCAGACTGCTGTTTCTCTAGTACTCTAGATTGACTTGATCATTGGGGTGCCAATGTGTCCTGTTGCATACATGTGTGATAACTGTCATTGCATTTAAGTTAGTAGCATATCTTGTCCAGTGTCTAAAGGAAAGCACTGTTCCAGTCTGTCATGCAGCTAGATGAGCTATCAACAGATATTCACAGAACTCCACTGATCAGCATCCTGTACAGAACATCTCCTAGACCTGAGCTCCTTACAAATCATTTATATTTCTTAGATTTCTGTCTTAGTGGTTACTATGGCTGTGATGAATCACCATGACCAAAAGCAACTTGGGGAGGAAATGTTTTATTTGGTTTACACTTCCACATCAGTTCATCATTGAAGGAAATCAGGACAGGAACTCAAACAGGGTGGGAGCCTGGAGGCAGGAGCCTGATGAAAGCCCATTAGAGAAGTGCTGCTCAGTGGCTTGCTCTTCATGGCTTGCTCAGTCTGCTTTCTTATAGCACCCAGGACCACCTGCCCAGAGATGACACCACCTGCAATGGCCTGGATCCTCCCCCCATCAATCATTAATTAAGCAAATGCCCTATGGGCTTCCTTACAGCCTGATGTTATGGAAATACTTTCTCAGCTGAGGCTCCATCCTCTCTGGTGACTCCAGCTTATATCAAGTTGACATGAAACTGGCCAGCACTGTTGCTTAATCTTTATACCTCTTCCCATCACTTTGCCACTTGAACTTAACACTGAGTTGCAGACCTGCATCTTATTAGCATTCTGCAGCTCATCTCAGAGAAGAAAGGTAGGACCAAGGATCTTTGCTTCAAAGACGTCAGTGCCATCTCTCCGTCTGGCTTTTGGGCAGCTGGGTTCAAGCAAACCCTTTGAGGTAGTTTGCAGTGCACCCAAGTTTCTTGGCCATTTCTTTGCCCTAGCCTGACTTCCAAGAAGAACCCACTGGATCTAAATTATGAACTGTTGTTGTGTATTGGTGTTCTCCGTAAGAAAATAGGTCTCCCCAAATCTTCAGAACACAGCTGTTTACTCCCTCAAAAAGCAACTCTTGACATTTCTACATTTGGCCCCTGGAATGTGTCTGCCTCACTTTGCCAAACATAAGCTCTGTAAAGTTAGGCCATGATATGTATCTTTGTGTCTTAGTCTTCTGCCGGCCAAAACCCAGCAGGCCTTGAATGAGTGTGTTAAGGATAATAGCAAATGAGTGAATCTGTCTGAATAGTTTATGAACTTGTGTAGAGAGAAAACTAACTCTTCAAGGTAGCAGGCTTTGGAGGAGGGCAAAATTGTTCAACCCCCTCCCCCCATCACTTCATAGGGCTTGTGTTTATTCCTGACACCATGGCTGACCAGCTGTCTGGGAGATTGCAGTAGATAAATGGAATGTAGCAACCCAGAAGAGATGTTGAAACTTCAAGGAAGTGATTGGGGGTGGGAGGGTGGAGAAGGGGGGACATTTTTGTAGACTTATTTTTCTTAGTACCTTTAAGGCATAATATTTATAGATGAAAGATAATGTATTAGGTGACTTATAAGACAAAAAGATAAAAGGGTTTGTCCTTGAGATTTCCAGAATGAATAAGCATTCGAGATTGGAACAGACAATGATTCAGATAAATTGTTTCCCGAAATTAGGCAGCCTGAGCCCTTTATGACTCCATAATCATTGGAAGCTGAGTTACTCATAACATTCCCGAAAATGAAATGTTCATGTTTTCCCTCCTTCATCAGAAACACAACAGATTGCTGAGAAGGGCAGATGCACAAATCTAATGAACCATCTTTCAATTTAAAGAGTGCCCAGGAGTATTCATTAAATAAATGGCAGTGGTAGAGGTGTGCTCTCAAGGCTTCCACTCCAGCTCAATGCCTTTGGACTTATTTAATTAAGTAGTGTGTGTGTACACCTCCACAACATACACAGACACATACATTACCCACAAATAAAAAGACCTTCAGAATTTAGCCCACTTTTAATTTATCTTGCCATTTTCCTGTGCAGTAGACAATAAATTATGTTTTGTTAGTATTATCTTTGACATTTACAGAACTTTTGCTAATACACCTTAGCATCTACATAGTAGGTCTCATTGCCTGGACAGACAGATGTTTGAATAAATGGGATACCATTGTATTGCACATTAAAATCCTTGGAGAAGTAGTGTTCCTGACTGTTTCCAAACACCAGATTATAAACTACCCTTTGACAACCCAGCGAAATCATGGGGCTGTGTGTGGGTCACTGAACCCTTGGTGAGAAGACTCGAGTGACTGCTCCAGTCGTGCCGTGTCTCAAGTCACTTGGCCTCTAGACACTTATGTTCCACCTTAGTCTCATTAGCAGATTATTTTGATTCTGGATTTTTCTCTCCTAGACTGTGCTGAGAATCTCCTCAAAAGGAAACATGTATGCTGATTTTTCTCTACCTAGATTCAGATCCTGATCCCTGAAAACTTCAAATTATTTAGCTAGCCTTGTTCCCCTATCTTATCAAATTGGCTTGCTTTCTGATCTGATTTGTAGAGATTAATGTAGAAATGTAGAAACTGAGATCCAGGGCTAGGGTTATGGAAAACCAGAGACTGATAGTACCTTCTGTGAGTCGGTGGATGTTGGTAGAAGTGTTAGAATTATTAGAGTTAGATGTGTGTGGTTTGTTTGTTTGTTTTTGCAGTCTTACTGTTTTTCATGAGAACAGCACTTCCTGGCTGAGTCTTGCCTCATTCAGAGAACACAAAGGATGGTAGCCATTTTTTCTAAGTAGCATATTTAAAGGCAGCTTGCTTACACCATGCTCTGCCATTTACCATATTTGCTTCAGATAGCCCCCAAGGCAGGTGTAGTTGCTCTCCTGTTATACGTGAAGCAATGTAACCTTTTTGCTTAAGGACCTTTATACTCATGTTGAACCATGCTTTATGTTTTTAAGCTCTGCTACCTGCTTGCTGCCATGTCAAGTGGAAATAATGTTTTTAGGTAATGGCTGGTTTTGACTGCCTTTGTTTCATTAGTGGAGGAAATTGAGTTTTTACTTTTGCTAAAAGTTAATGCTTACTACAGTCCCAGGGTTGTTTTTTATGAAGTTCAAATCAGAAAGTACATGTTCATTGAAAGCTTTTAGCCACTCTTGTGGGTTTTGAAGATGCCAGACTGTCTATAAATAAACATAAAGTGTTGTCTACTAAATTTTGTGAAAATCAGTCAACTGCAATGGAAAATGAACAGCACAAGTCATGCTGATTTTCCAAGTGGAAAAATTAGGTCAGAGAGGTAGCATAAGCTGTCTTCTGCATCTTCATTTATTTTGTTTCTTAAACTTTCTGCTGGAGGCACATGGGTCCTTGGGTCTGAGTCATTGAGAAGTGTTCCTGCCTAGGCAGTTTGTAGGCTTGGGAGGGGGGCGATATTTTCATAAGGCCCTGTGTTGTCAAGCCTGGTTCATACTAGGCACCTGGTCAGGACCTGCCATGAGTTCTCATGCAGCTGGCTGTGCATGTGAACAGTAGACAAAGGGATGGCTCATCTCTGCAGAGCTGCAAGAGAGGAACAGCAGGCCTAGGTCAGGGTTTTGTGAGGGCTGCTGCACCTGCTGGTTGTCCTGTTCTTCTGCACAGACTTCAACTTGGCCTGTCCCTCTTCATGCTTTGAGTTGTCACACCCAGTTAAAGCTCTCCTATCTGACACAAGATCTCCCAGAGGAGGGATGACTCACACTCCATAGATGGTAGACATAGCAGAATCTTCACTGAATCTAAAAATTCTAAAGAGAGTTAAGTGGACTTCCAGAGTATGCTTCTGGGGAAAAGAGTGCTGTATCAGGGCAACATGCAGACATGGCTCAGTGGGAACCATGCAGAGCAGGAGTTTATAAAATCCAGTCTGGCCCCCATGGATCTGCAGAAAAATGTGCTGTCACCCCCACCTACTCTCCAACCTGCTGACATTTGTGTGTCAGGCTTTGTATTTGGTCTCAAGACTTGTCATCTTATTGGACAGCTTCATTTTCTCCAGCTAGTTCTTCTCCATGGAAAGTAATAATCTTCTGAGA